GGATGTAGTCATTTTTTTAATCAATTCACTCCAAGCAAGGCGATAATGCCGCTAAGATGTAAGGGACTACTGGAAGTGAAAGAGAATGAAAAAAATCTCAGAAGGAACCGGAAGAAACCTAATCACAAACAGGAAACAAGGGGTAAACCTCTACTTCTGTTCAAAAGCCTGTGGCGCAGTGTGAACTGGACAATAGGCGAAACTCTCCAATTAGGATGGATGCTCAATCAAAATTATTGCTGGTACACATTAAGTTAGTCGTAATAATATTTCAACCTTAAAAATATTATTTTAAACCTATAAATGTTAAAAATAAAAGCGTATCAAGAGTTTGGAACGCTATAAAATACAAATACTTGTATAGTTTTAATTAAAATATTTTTATATTTGTCGCGTGAGTAAGCAAAGATTTTTCCGATTGTAGTTTACTTTCCATCAGCTGTTCTTTTCTTTAAAATGAATTCCAATTATTCTGAGCCATTCTTAAATGTTTATAATGACCTTAAATATGTATAAGACTTTTAAATATATTAATTAAAATAGCTAACGTATAAAAATTCCAGAGGGTCACCAAAAAGACACACGCAAAGGGTATCAACATATATATATATATATATATATATATATATATATATATATATATATATATATATATATATATATATATATATACAAACCAAAACGGCAGGACCCAAGAAAACAAAAAACGACGAAAATAGAATCTAAAATAAGATTAAAAATTTGCGGACGTCAGTATAAAAGGAGAATGTTCAGCTATTTGCTGTTGTTTTGAGTAAATCGAGTTTCTTTCCACCAAAAGAGATAAATACGAAACTGTGTATCAGGCCGTTGTCAATTATTTCATAAAGATCTACACAAAGTGACTGCCTTAACCGAAAGAGGGAAATGATGCAACTTGCCTACAGCTGAAACTAGTTTCTCGAAGTCGATACACATTATTGCAGTGTGTTGTTGCTTTTAGAAAAAAAAGATAAGTCAGCAAAAACGTCAAAAGTAGAAATATATATGTGTGCGCACGTGTGTGTGTGTTTGTGCTTGTGTGTGTGCCTGGGTATGCGTGTGTGTGTGTTCCTGTGTGTATGTATTCACCAGTTGTATTTTGTTGTGCTTAGCCTTCTTCCGGATTCATATTCTTACAAAAAGAGTGCAAAAGCTAATAGATATTGGTGAGTTTGTGGCGGACTTCACCACATTAATTTAACTTAGATTAGGAAACCAAACTGACGTGAAGAAAAAAAGGATAAGCCAAAGACATCATTACACATAAAATTTGTATTAAACAAGATGGACAAACAAGGATGTGAAAGAAAAGCATGCATTGAGTAAAACAAGAGTTGTCTCTCTTTAATTATTATTTGTGTTCCAAAGTTCACCGAAAGAAAGTTTGTGATAGTTTCTTGTTATAATTGTTCTCAGCAGATTTGCTGTGTAAGAAAAGACTATGTGATTGTATAAGGAATGTTCAGCATGTGAGTAGTGGTGTGAGTGAGAAGGTTGGAAAAGTTCGTAAGAATTCTTACGTACGTGAATGCGTGAAATATTATTTAATGTCTGACCGCATGGTCGAGACGATAATTCTTAAAGGTCACAGGAAGAAGAGAGAAAAAAGAGAAAGAGGAAAACTCGTGTTTGCTGTTTATTTATAGATAATGTAATCACGTGACAGGATCACAGCAGCTTGGCTGGAAACTTGACTTAGTCACGCGCTGGAAAAATATATTGTGTGTGGGTGGATTGCAACGCCCACTTGTGTGTTTATTGACCAATTAGCGAGCGAGTTTTGGGGAGACCTAAGAAAGCCTCTGGGATCCGATTCTCCCAAAAGTGCACAAAATCGATTACATGAAAATATAGCGATTATAAAATTGTCGCATAGCTGCGATTTATAAATTGTCCATTACACAGTAGTGTTGATTTATTATCCAATGAATGCTTGTTGTTGTATAATTTGAATTTGTGTATGTATGTATATATGTGTGTGATGATGATCATCACAAGTTCGTCGAATCTCTCCACAATTTCAGAACTGTAGAACTAGAACGAATAAGCACGATGGACAACACCCCCACCCCCGTAAAAATAAATAAAAAAATCTTCAGACTCAAAGACTTTTGTCTAGAGTCAGAATTGGTCCGGGTATACGGTAAATTTTGGCCATACTGTAAGAAGCAAACAAAGTCTTTGAAATGTCACTTCCGCTGGTCGACTATCCAAGCGAAAAAGTTAAAAAATCTGAAGCAGGTTTGTTTGTCCGTGCAAGGTTCTTGTTTATATGCACCCTTCCCTTTTTATAGGGTCATAATATCGGGGTAACTTTGTCTACTTTCAAGCAAGACTGAGATGAACAAGAGGCCTATGGGACAAGCCATCGATATCCTCACACTCAGCATGTTTTTCATAGTTGAGCAAAACCATTGAAATGATAATGGCTTCCTGATTAGCTACTTTGAATGATCGAGGGCTGAGGTCGAAGTCTAAAAGGGCTAAACTTGTCCGTGACATTCAACCCTTAGGTATGGATATATGTAAGAGATCCATCTTATTGTCAGTGAAAAAAAAGGCCAAAGAGTTTTCACGTCATCTTAGCATATTTTGATAGACATTCGAGAGGTGTCTCCTTGCTAGTAAGACGTTCTTTAGGAGCGACCTGTTCATATTTCTTTGCAGATTCGACAGTCAGATTGTGTGTGCTGACTGTTATCATAAAGCCGAAAGCCTTTTGTCTCATTGTAGTTTATACGCCTAATGATAGCAAGGAGTGAATGCCGTTTTTGTTGGATCGATCCCTTTGCGATATCATCGAAATCAGTAGTGGGTGATTGGAACGTCGTCCTCGGATGTTAGGAAGTGGGTATGAATAAATCTTTTCATGACTTTATCACTAAATTCGATTTGCATAATAAATTCCAAAATGAACATCCAAAACAGGATAGTAGGCAGATGGTGGCTGCTTGGGGTCAGTACATGACACGATGCATCGACCTAGTTTTAGAGATTCAATTCAGGGTTCTTAGGTTGTCCAAGTTTTCATGACATGTCTGGGTCCGAATAAACTTCGATAAACCTAAACCTAAACTTAAGCCCTGGTTACTGGAAATTCAACATATCATTGTTGGGTGGGAACGACTGCAGAAGCCAGTTGATACTAACCCTAAAGTGACAGTTGACTTGTGGTTTGAAATAAGTTGTGTAACTACTTCAAAAATTAAATCTTTTCTTGCTGCCTGCCGTCACCGACTTAGCTCAGGTTAACCATATAGTGATTTTCCAAGCGTAGCTTACATGTGGCACAAGGCCGAAAATAGAGGGCACCCAGTGAGGATCGAACTCACTACTCAGTCGTAATTGTTTTAGCAAGACAAGCTTGTTAACCATTACACCGCCTCGAAGTGCCCTACTCAGGTTACCCGTGGTCCTCAAATCTAAAGTAAAACAAGCTGACCTCAGTGCTTACCAAGAAGGACCAAACTCTGGTAGTTAAAGCTAGATTAAAACGAATGTTTACCGAGGCGACGACCATGACCATACGCACAGAAAAACCTGGAATCGACATATTACCAAACTCACATAACCGGTTAGACAAACTTTGACTACAAACGAAGGCACCTGTGAAGAATTTCGTGATTACTGCCAACATTTATTTTATTTTTTAACTAGATAACCCGATCTGAGTTTGTCTCAATTCGATACCTATTTAGCTTTTCTCACTTTAAAGCAACTGAAGAAGTTGTGTAAGAGTTCCATATAAGAGGATAAAATCGAGGAGGTGTTAAGAAAGATAGCCACGAACAGGACTCCTGGAAATGATGGGCTCCCATATGTTCTACTTTAAGCTGGCGCCCATGTTTGTCTCCCGTTGGCGCTGATCTACAATAACTGGACGAAACGGCAGAGTACTGTTCAACGCTTCACTAAGAACAAACATAGGGCAGGGATTAGTAATTTCAAGCCATTCAATGTGTTAAAGATTTTGGTCAAGGTCTTAAGTAACAGTTTTACAAGCTGTGATGGATCATCTGAAAGCTTCTGAAGAGACTTCTTTCCCGAGGGTAGGACGAACCAAAAATTTCTTTCGTACGATCATAGAGAAAGCCGATGGTGAAGTCCCATTAATCAATTTCAATAAGTCTAAAGTTTAAATAAGATCGATCACTGTTTTTTAGAAGCTATCAGATTTTGTTTTATCATTTTTTTTTTTTTTTTTTTTTTTGGTGATGAAGTGATTCTACCGTCGGAGCTATAGTAAAAATGAACACAGTAAAATCGAAACTTTCATTTCCAAATTTATTCGTCGATGTTGTCTGCTTTTTTCCATGCTGCACGTTCTTGCTTTGGAACATTTCATACGAATATCGAAGTTGGACCTGATTCTACGCGTAATGATATAACCAGTTGCCAGTATATCTCCTGATACTATGTCGACGATATATTCACGCTTGTAACGAATGCCGAGTTCGTGAAGGTCGGCAAAGAAATCCGGTTGTATGACATGGAGTTGAAATTAACCGTGGTAAGTCTGTTGACGGTTGGTTTTGTGGAGTAGTTGTTGTCTCCCTGGCCTCTTAAGTCGGACAGACGAGCCATGCCAGTTACTCAATGACTGGTTTGATTCCGACCTCCAGCTGGAGATGAATTAGTCGGAGGTACTGGATAAGGTCTGGTCTGTAATTAGTTTGTAAACTCGAAGGAATCTTTCCTGAAAGAGAGGGCCGATTTGTGAGTTTCGCACATGCGTGACACAATGAACTCCGGCTCTGATCAGGATGCCCACATAGCAAAGTGGACGGTAAGTGATTTTATCTAATACTGAAGCAATTAATGTTTCATGACCAGCAGTAAGGTCTACAAGTGAAATCTTCAAAGTAACCGCCCGCTGTTCACAAGTAAAGATAATGGAAATAGAATAAATAAATGAAAACTTTCGGTATCAAGTGCTACACAGCCGAAAGGTAGGTAATTCCGGTCTTGGACATATATAGTCAGAGCTTTATGGAATGGTGAGTCAGAAAGGCGATAGGAGAGAGTCGACAGTCAACGTAACGAGGGAGAGAGAGAGAGAGAGAGAGAGAGAGAGAGAGAGAGACTGTTAGAGGAAGAGAGATGTAGATTGCATTCTTGTTGACCGAAGAGGCAATCTCGTCTGTTAGCCTGTCGAAAGAAAAGAGAGTAGTAGCAACGAAGATGTCCTAAGTATCATTTACCTCCTCCCATCCCATAGATTTTTTTTTTTTTTTGCTTTCTTAGCTTAACTTAACTTTTTTTCTTTCTTAGTTTAACTTAACTCGGTAATGTATATTCATTGCTCATTCAATTTTTTTTTTTACTTTGGTTTTCTACATTTCCGTTCTTCTCTCAGAAGATAGAAAGCAAATAGTAGGCAATAGTTGGCTTTATTTTTCATTTATTTTCTGGCATTTTCCAACATCATTTTTCATTCGGGTAACTTTTATTCTTTTTATTTTTTGCTATCGCGCGCGCGCGCGTGTGTGTGGAGGGAGATCAAATACTTACGTATTTTTTGTTTATGAATATTTTCTGTAAATATAATTTCGAATCATTTCAAATCATTGGGTGAATTTCTAAATTGTAGCTATTTGTTTTTATTCTATTCGCTACATGAAAGCTAGAATTTCTGTTGAAAGAATATAAAGTCTTGGTAATTCTTGCATGAAAGAGTCAGATTAAATGAGATTTTGTGGTAAAAAGAAATAATGAATATTTACATTCATTTGTTTTACGACAAAAGGTAATAAATTCTTCCATACGTTGTTTTATTTTTTAACTCAATCTTTTATCATCCTCTCTTCGTCTTATGAATTTCTTTTTACGTTAATTGGTAGGAATTCAGAACTCTTCGACGTTGGAGACAACTCTAAACTCAAATACAAATAGAATAGTTTGATTCTTACTACCACAAGCGTTCATTATTTTACGCTGGCCACGGCCTTTCGATTATTTGAAAGAATTTAAAAAATTTACCTCTTACCATACCGCCATTCCCTATTCTGCCAACCATTGAAACACGCGCTCATGAGGTAAGTTATTCGCTACTTTCCTCTGTCTCTCCTGCTTAGTCCTGTGAGTGTCAAAATTTCCAAGCTTTCTTTCCTCATTATTTGCTCCTCCTTTCATAGCATTCTCAGCATCCTTCTGTAGAACCATATTTCTGTTGCCTGAAGTCTTCTCTACATCTGTAAAGAAAATCTTCAGCAAGATTAATATTATATAACAATTCATTTCTCTTTTCTTTGTTTCTAACGACATCTTCGGTTTCTTAATATTTTGTTTAGTTTTTGGAAGGCATCTTTTGCTGTTCCAATACTCCTTCCGATTTTGCTCTCACATATTCCATTATCTGTTAAAACACTTCTCAGGCATTTAAACTTCTTTATTTATTTGATTTTGACATATAATATTCGTAGATTGCATCTTGGGTTTTTTCTCTTGCCGATAATAACGCATTCTGTCTTCTTAGGACTTTCTTCTCACTTTCCTTTACTATCTTGTCTCTTTTTTTGTTTGCCATCAGCACAGTGTCATCTTCGTAATTTATGTCGTTAAGATTGTGCCTCTCGATACTAAATCCTGGTAGGATTTCCAACAGTCTTCGAATAGCCACACTGGAGAGGTTGAATAAATCCGGCGAGAAGACACATCCTTGTCTTACTCTCTTTTCTATTTTGTGTAGTTATGCATTACTTATCGATATACAGGCAGTTTGCACCCAGTATAAGTTCTGGATATGATTATCGTGTTAAAGGATTTTCAATCTTCAATCGAAAAATTTCTCCATATAAAAATATTCTTAGATTCAATTACATCGGAAAGTGAGTCCACATTCACAAAATCGAGTCAATAAAAAGAGGAAGTGACGTTGACGCATACCCTTTTTTTTTTCTTTTCTAGTCAGGAAGAATTTTTCTTCGGGGATCTATTTCATCAGAGACGTTTTCTTAAAGCGTATATTTCGTTTACATTAAATATCGTTTGCTTTCATTTCACTGTTAATGCTTTAGCGCTGACTTCATTTGAAACATAAATATCCTTCAATATGGATGTTTATTGCGTCAATCGAGCTGGTCTCTTTGACTAAACTAAAATTGAATTTAAGATTTAAAAAACTGTGTAATATAAACATTGCATAAAGATTTACTTAACTGGCTGCAAACTGGCTTTTCCCAAATTTCTTTTGTAAAGGAGGGATGGCCTTAGCGAATCATTGAAATTTTTGCTTTAACTAACACTAGATACATCGTCGCAAATGTTTAAGCTATGAGATTTAAGAGTTTCTTATTGTTTTGTTGTTCTTGTCAGACAAATTTCTATAGAGCAATGGGTAACTCGATAACCTTACACATCACTACAACTGTCACAGTTTCATTCTTCATTGTTTATCTCCCTTTTGCAGTCTTCAGTTGTATTAAACTTGATTAATTCTCAATAAAATATGGTGGTTAACTATTTTGTATCAGATTTCTGCGTGTCATTCAAAAGCCTTAATCTCCAGCGAAGAATCACCCGAATAAAATGCAATATAAGTTTTTGCAAGTTTGAGGAAAGGGGTGTGTACTACATATATTTATCTTTTGACTAGGAAACGCGTGATTAAGGAAAGCAAAGACGCTGGAGGTTACTAACCAATGTGGCGTGCACAAGGCAATTTATATTTGACGTAAAATAGCACATAATATAAAATACAAAACAGAATGTAATGATTCAAAACATAATAATTGAATTTATTAGTGTTTGGTGTAAATGCATATAAGCTGAAGGTGTGATAGAGTTATATCTCTTAGATTTGGAAATATTTGTACCTGAGTTCATAAAGATGAAGTAATTATTAAACTGTAGTTTAGAAGAATAAGTTCCTGTTGCATGTTAGGAATTGTGTATTGGATGAAGTTGGTAAGAGTTCAAAAGAGATTTTAGAGTTCGTACTTGCGTGAAATGGTAATGTTCTTTAAAGTCTGACTGCATGGTCAAGACGGGAGTTCTTGAAGGTCACATTTTAGCAGCAAAAGTTTGAGACGCAAGAGTGACGAAAGAGAGATAGATAGATAGATAGATAGAGAGAGAGAGAGAGAGAGAGAGAGAGAGAGAGAACCACTTGTGTTTTGTTTATATAAGATGGTGTATCACGTGACTGGCTCAGATCGAAAACGCGGGAAATTTCATTCCTCGCGTGCAGGATATCTGATTGGTCGGAATTGACCAATCAGCGAGCTAGTTTTTAGAAGATCAAGCAATGAAGGCTTGTCGCATGATTTCTATGTACTCTGTATATGTAATGGTGGTGGTGTGATTCTACAATGTAATTGTGATTTATTTTTATTTGAAATAACATAGGACACAAAATGAAATGACGTGGAACGCACAATGTTATTTACTTTTGATTTGAGACCAAAGGAAATTTGTTATTAGTCAAGTACTGAGATCTAACCACGATGCATTTATTAAACTTTCAAATGATGCCTATTATTATTATTATTATTATTATTATTATTTCCTTTGATTTCTGGTGTGTACTCATTTCTTTCTGGGTTCCGACCAGATACCTAAGGTTAGAAGTGGAGCCATGACATTTTCTACTGAGCCGTTTTGAAATCAGACATATTTTACATAGATAAAGCCCTTTGTTAGGTGTGGCCTGCACTCGTGAGAGCAATTTTTTGTATTTTTTTAAGCTATGGGCTACCAGGAATCCTTTCAATGAGTCTATTGGAATCTTTTTCAATCAATCCGAGGGATCCAACTAAAACTGGAATTGTTGATGTTCTTATGGGCCACATTTTTGAGATTTCGATTTTAAACTCCTTGTACTTTGATGGCTTTTTGAAGATCTTCAAAGATGCATTGCAGTCTGGAATTTTGAACTGAATAAAGTCGCTTACAATTTTCATGTTCTTTGACAGATATCATCTAGTCTTCTGTAGTTTCCAGGTATCTTTGAAGCCCAATTGTTGTAGTTTTGTAAGACAGTTCTAGTTGAACTAATCCCCTGTCTCCTTCGGGTCTGGGCGCATACAGACGATCAACATCAAATTTGGGATGATGAATGTGGTGGCAAGTGAAAAGCTTTCTCGTTTTGGCGTCCATTGGCTTAATGTCAGTTATGGTTCAGTTAAAGTTGTTGAAACTGTATTGCACCACAGGGACAGCTACATTGTTTATGGCTGATATTCTGTTTTTTGAATTCAGCTTGGTATTTAGTACCAGACACACACGCCTGTAGCATTCATTATTATTATTATTATTATCATTATTATTATTATTATTATTATTTCCTTTGATTTCTGTTATATACACATTTCCTTCCGGGTTTCAACCAGAAACCTAAGGTCAGAAATGCCGTCATGACATTTTCCACTGATCATTTTTATAAAAATAAACAAAACAAAACCTAAGATCACGCACATATTACTTTGATAAAGTTCTTCGTAATGTGTGAGCTTTACTTGTGAGTACATTTTGGGGGTATTTCTTTAAGGTATGGTCTATCAAGAATCCCTTCAATGTATATATCGGAAAGTTTTTCCAATCAAAGTGGAATTATTCATGCCCTTATGTGCCACATTTTTGAGATTTCCACTTCAAGGTCCTTGTATTTTAATAAAATTTTTTAAAGATTTTCAATGATACATTACAATTTGCAGTGACTACAATGTCAATAAGAAAGCACAGTCTGTTTTTGTGGTCTTTGATCGCAATATCTGAACGATATTTTTCGATTGTTTTGTCTTTGTGTAATTGTAAAATACCATAAAATTGTTACAGGTATCATCTCTGAAACCGGATGTAGGTGATATTCATACCAGCATCTTGCAGTTTCCGTCCCGTAAAACTGTCATATTTTCCAGTGCAGATATTGGCCCAATCTATCATGTCGAGTTTTATATTCAGTGGGTGCTAACACCGTGTAACCTGATACAAGATGGTCAGTTGTTTCTGGATATTTATCACAGAATCTGCATTTGGGGTCAATACAATTTTTCAGTATGCGTGCTTGGTAATTTCTAGTTAGCAAGCATTGGTCCTGTGCATCAAGAATGTTATTTGACACAGATCATCATCCAGTCTTATGTAGTTTCCAGGTATCTTGGAAGACCGATTGTTGTGGTTTTGCAAGATAGTTCTAGCTGAACTAATCATCTGCCCCCTCAGGATCTGGGAACATACCGACGACCAATATCAGCCTTGGGATGATGCATGCGGTGGCAAGTGAGAAGCTTTCGCATTTTGACATCCATTAGCTTAATATCACCTATGATCCAGTTAAGGTTATTGAAACTCTATTGCATCACAGGGACAGACAAGGTGTTTATCGTGGATATTCTGTTTTGTGAATTCAACTCGGTATTTAAAACTAGACACACGCGCCTGACGTATTCTTTTCTTACCTTCTCTTTCATTTGGATATGTTGCATTTCATCTCCTTCGCTGACTCCTAGTTATTTATAGGCTTCTTCTTGTTCCAGTTCTCTAATCTTTACGACAAAATCTAGCTCTATCGAGTGCGTTTGTCATTTTCCCTTTTTTGAATGTTACTTTTGCACATTTATCTAATTCGAAATACATATCGATGCCATTCATTACGTTGTCGTCGTTGGCAAAGAATTTGATATCATCCCTGTAGAATAGATGATTAAACAATTTCTTTTTTTTTTTATTTGTATCCGTAGTTATTACTGTTTAGTTTATGCGAAAGAAGGATTAACGACAGACAGAGCAGAAGGGACATTAATAAAGCGTCTGTAAGAAATTTATGGATTGATGACAGATGATAAGAGCCAAAAGTCGGATACCTTGTCATTTCCTGGGGATTTCTATTTTTGGAATTTTGTTAGAGCTTGCCTAATATTATTCTTGGTTATATTTTTTCATTCTTGAACAGGTTTATCCTTCATTCATTCTTCTTCTCGTCTGATTATTATTATTATTATTATTATTATTATTATTATTATTTTGTTTTCTGTTTAGTACAAATACTTACTGAATCTGTGTTCGACACTTAAGGCAAGGTAATAAATATATGCATTCTGTTTACAGAAATTCTGATTTTAAGTGATACTTAACATGTACGGTTTTTATATTTTCTTTACATTGATAATACTCTTCTGAGTGGATGAGTAATTATGTGCAAATTCATTTGGTCGCGATACCAAGGAAGAGAGCTCATTAGAACAACTGCTATTAAAATATTTATAGAAAAGGCAGAGGAAAGACACGTCACGGTGATGGGAAATTGACTGAAGCCGAGATGCCAGTTCATGACCGATATCATAACAGACTCTTCTTTGAATTTTGTCGAGAATATCGAGATATATAACAGGAGTATTAAATTAAATATGGCTGCAATATTCAATTCACGGACGAATCGTAGATTTATAAAAGATGGATTCCGATGAGAAAAAAATGTCTGGCACGACACAGTGAAACAATCTTCTTAGCAGCAAACCTAGCAACTTATCCAATATAATCGATCTATTTCATGACAGTAGAAAAGGTTAGTCCAAGAAGGCGTAATGAGTTGCTCTTCTAGAGGTTAGCATCAGCCATACTGATGCAAGGTAAAATGTTTACTTCTGATGATTAAAGGATAACAGTTTCATTTTTGAGGCGTTAAAATTTACAAGCCATATCTTGCCCCAGTTAACAACTGATTGGAGGTCGTTTTCGATAGCAGTTGACTTATGTGACTTACTATTAAGACTGAAGGAAATAGTTTTGTCATCAGCATTAATGCCTAGTTTATAACTGATGACATCGGGAAGGTCGTTGATGAAGATAAGAAACAATGTCGATCCAAGTATAGAGCCCCCGGGAGATCGGCGCATTTATGTGAAATGGTCGAGAACACGTCCTTAATTATACGATTTGTTAAAAGAGATTGGATTAAGTCAAATATCCGTCCAGAGATACCACAGTCCTTGAGTTTGTGGAGAAAGTCAGCATTTCAAATAACTTGTCAAACGCCTTCGAGATAATCTAGAGTCACAGCTCGAGCGTCGCCGTTTTTATCTAAAGACTGATAGACAAATTCAGCGATAACTGTTAGTACATCAGTGAAGGTGAGATTTTTTCAATTTCAAATTCAAGATCATTATCTTATATTTCTAACAGACGGTATTGTCATATCAGCGAGAAGGCATTATTCTGTTTGCAATCACAATGTTTAGCCAATTAGTTTTCATATGTCTTTCAATATAGAGGCAACCTCCTAAAGAACATGACCTTCTATGATTGGTGCAGGATGATTTTTATATCTTTTGTTTTTCAATATGTGACGCACTGCAATAATGACATATCTTCCACAATATACTATCCAAACCTATGTCGATCTTTGTATTCTTTCAGTGTCAATATTAGACAACCAGACACTAAGTGACCAATAGTTTCAACATATTTTTCGCATAATCTACATATTGGGTCTGCATCATTTTTAATAGTTTTTCCTGCTAATACTTGGTGAATAGGATTTTGCTCTGTACAGCCATGATAACTGCCTCCATCTCTGCTTTCAGTTCTGCGCTCTTCAAACACTGATAGGTTTTCTGTGTACGTATGCACCGTTACTTCTGAGTGCATATACGTTTTTGTTCCTATGTGCTTTCTAAATTGTGTTTTGTATGTTTTTTTTTTATGAATTTAGTTGCATTTGTTGCTTTAGTATTTTCATCAATTTCTTTCCCAGTGAATTTCAGTTCCTTTAAGAAATTATTTTTTCTTTTATAATTGAGTAAAGTTTTTAGTTGCTTGTGACTTTTAACAAGTTATCACATCCAGTCAAGTGTGGTCTTTAAATACTTTTAAACCAATATCTGTTTTATAGGTTAACTCAAATTGGATTAAGCCCTTGCTGCCATTAATCCTAACAATATAAAGATGGTCAGTATTCGTCACCGGATGGTGAATCTTATTGCAAATCATTTACTTAACTTGGAATTCGTTTTATTTCTTTCAGTTACAGTTCAACTGATAATATCAAAGTAACATGTGTTGTTATTAAATTTATAGCCATATTATTAAATACCTTGCCATAAGACATTGTAAATATTTACTGTTACCTGTTAATTTGTTAACGCATCTTATTAAGTACTTATCTATTG